TATTGAGAACCAGATTCCTCACATGTTTCCCTGCGGCTCAGACCTATAATCAACATGTTATCAGTAACGTTCAATGTTCCCCCTACGAAGCACAACTATATTTCATGCACAACATAACATATCAATTCGATTCTGTTCCTCCCCCATGTTGACACCTATACTTCCCCCTTTTGGCATCATTGAAAAAGAATAACAGAAGAAGCACAACCAAAAAGAAGTTCAGCAACATTAACTCATGCCACTCGGGCAACACAACATAAACAATAACAAGAATAACAAGTGAATGTCATTGCACAAAATAGAGTGATTGTCCATAGTAGAGTAATTATAATAAAAGCGCAGTAGTTGCAACAATACATAATATGACAATTTAAAAACCTAAGTACCAATGTCATCAAATATAGGGATCAAAAGAAGATAGGAATTCGAGGGAATTTGGAAGAAGTGAAAGACATGGATCACTGGAAAGGAAGAAAAGTAAGGGGCTAAGGCCTTGGTGAGCTTGTCCATTCGTTCATTCACTCTCATTTGATAAATGATCATCTGCTCTCTTAGTTCCTCCACCTATTTCCTCAATCTTTCATTCTCACCCTCCGACTTAGCATTCTATTCTGCCAAGAGTCCACGATGACCTGGTTCTCTACCTATCTGAGCAGGCTGAACCATCACTCAGATCACCAAGAATCTCCCCAAGCTTCTTTTCATCAAGAACAAACTTAGTCCCATGCACATATAGCATCAGAGTATCATATAAAACATAGAAGTTTTTACTTCTTCTTCATAAATGTTGGGACTTGGAGGAACAAAGAGGTGATTCTATTTTTGGAACTCAACAATGTCAAGAAGTTCCTCCATTTTTCAGCAATATCTGAGTCAACACTTTGTCTAACATCAATTTTTTGAGACTTCAGAGTCTTCTACCTCTCCAAACCTGATAACTCAACCTTTTGCTTCTGTAAGGAACTAGGTTCCTCACTTACACTACCCTTTCTATGCCTGAGCAACCATGTCTCATTCTTTTTCTTCTCAATCTGTTTACCCTTATCATCTGCTGCATCTTTCTCAGTCAACTTTCTTTTTCTAATTTTTTTTTCACTTCATTATCTCTTCCATAATCATATCAGTAGGTCACACCACTTCATCATCAATCAGCCTACTTTTCATCAATACTTTTTACTGTATCAGAAGTTCGTTTAAACATAGAACTCAAAAAGAAAAAGATCATCATTAAAATTGACTTCCTAAGAAGGACTTGAGGGATCATGTCCCCCATCCAGTTCTCACATTTACCAATTTTTCCATCCTTCAAGACTTCCATAAATCCAGCAACAATTTCAGTTTCACACTCTAGAATATTAGATCTACCCTATTCTCTTTCAGTTAAACTTCCATAAAAAATTTACCAAAGACTTCTTGGGGTTTTGATTAAGATGGAGTTAGGATTTTGGAAAGTGACAGTGGGGTTCACTTCTGGCATATTTGGAGAGAAGGATTCTTTTTGAGACAAGGTTGATTTTGGTTTTGAAGAAAAGAATCGGTTTTGGTTGGGTGTAAGATAGAGAAGTGGTTTTTTTGGGGCAACGATTCAGTTTAGAAGAGGTTTAACATTTTGGACTTCAAAAATTAGGAGAGAGGTAGGATAAAGGCGAGAACAAATTAATGACATGACACTTCAGCAACTTAAAAAGGCATATAAGTATTGAAGAAACCACTAACCTGAGTCGTAGAACCAGGTTCCTTGACAGTTTTTGAAAATCTGAGCAAAGACTTCTAGAAGTGCTATGTCACTCTTACTTGTTTTTTGTCCTGAAACTGCTATATGTGTATACTTGTAATAGTATAGATTTGAGTTAGATGTTGCCGAAAACACTTTTTAGCATTGTACCTTTCCTTCTTAACATAGCCAATCATCGAGGGACTAGGTCCTTAGTTGAGCTTGATCAACCCAAACTCCAGACGATTTCTTTCAAAATGTTCACTGCTCAGCGCCTTGGTGAAGATGTCTACTACCTGGTCTTCCGTCTTCCAGTGCTTCATACAAATCAGAACCTTTTATACATTATCCCTCAAAAAGTGATGTCGCACATCAATGCGCTTTGTCCTCTTGTGTTGTACTGGGTTCAAGCTGTAAATACACCAAAGTCCTTAAGATATTGCTTGATCTGTAGTAGTTGAGCATAACAAGAAGTAGCAACCACGTATTCAGCTTCAACAGTAGAAAGAGCCACACAGTTTGTTTCTTTGTACCCCATGAGATCAAGTATGACCCTAGAAAATGTGCCATTCTAGATGTGTTTTTTCTCAAAATTCCCTTGGCACCCTTCAAGTGATAGTGTTTTGGGCCAGGTTCCAATCACTATTCTGTATGACGGCCTAGGGACCAAGGGCCACACTTGGTTCCTCTCAACTGATGGAGTTTTTCTTACATAGTAGCTATCTAGTTAGCATTTTTCAATGCTTCTTTGATGTTCTTAGGCTCGATTTAAGACAAGAAAGCTAAGAGGGAAAACATGTTCCTTGCCTTAGTACTAGATTGAATACCAGAGTCAAAGGATTTGATTACATTTTGAAGGGATGTGAACTCTTTTGCTTCTAGTTGGATACTTGAACTTCAGAATTTGAAGGACCAGGTTCTTCCATATGTGAATCATCATTAACATCAACAGAATTATGACTTTCACTCTTTTGTTCTGAATTAGGAGAACCTAATGCTGCATCAACAACCCTATGTTCAGCTTAAGTCGAGGTGATAAAGGGACCAGGTTCCCCTATGCCTTTTGGAGATTCTACTGTATCTCCTTCATCCTTCTGTTTGACTTGACTCATCAAATCAGTCTTTCCATTTGCAATATCTATAGCTTTACTGGAAGCATTTGTGAATTCTCTATCTTCATCTTCTTTGTTTCCTGACCCTTTTGCCACCATTGTTGAGATCAAAACATTTTGCATCCAAAGTCTTTCGGGTAACTCAGCTTGGCTTTTCTCCCATTGAGTAGTTCATAGAGAGACTTCTCAAGAAGGGACCTGATCATGCATTTATTAATCAAGTAGCAGGCAGTGTTGACTACTTCAGCCCATGAACCAGGTCATCCATAACCAACTTGTTCAACAAATAAGAACTCACATGCCCCAGTCATTTTTGCCATAACTCAACATCATCATCAATGACACTTAGGCATGTTAGAGCACCACCATACAGAGACTTAAAATCAGTAACGTAAACATTCTTGTATCTTTTGGCTACAAGCACCACCTCACCAGTCACAAGATTTGTGACTGTGCATATCTTGGACAAGAATTCCATTTTATTTCCCTTGTCACATATTTGAGAAACACTCAAGAGACTGTACTTCAGGCCATTGACATAGTACACGTTCTCAATTGAGTGAGTGAGTGACTTCACAATCCTTCCTACTCCTAGAGTGTACCCCTTTTAGCTATTTCCAAAGGGTACACTCTCTCCTTGCAGGGCCTTAAGTGAAAGGAAATCATTTGTACTTCCAGTCATATGCTTTGAGTAGCCTCTATCTATGTTCCATTGTAGGTTTCTCCCTTTCACTATTCCCTGCACAAGAAAATCAGGAGTTAGACTTAGGGACCCAAATGAGTTTGGGTCCCTTGTAATGAGGAAATGGGTGAATTAGGGCTCTTTTGGTCCAAGTAGGCATTATGCAATTTTTATGTGAAGGACCAAGTTCCCTAGTTACTTTTTCAGCAAAGACTTTGTTTTTTTGTTGAGATTGGAATCTGGCCTTATAGGTTTCCTTAAAATGCCCAATATTGCCACAGTGAGTGCAAAGCCAATTGTCAGGTACAATAACGTACTTGCTATGAGGGTTATAGGGAATTAGTTTTCCTTTGGAGTCTGATTCCCTGCATGTTTCCCCCATTGTGGTGTACATGGTAGTGATATCATCAGAGGACCAGGTCCACTTAAGTGATTTTTCAAGATCACTCTTCACTCTTCCTAGTTCTTCCTGAAGTTTTTTGTTTTTCTCAAGCTCAGCACACAGACTAGACTTCACTGAATTGAACTCACTTTCAAGATTAATGTGTGCCTAACTTGCAACTTTCTTTCCCTTTTGAGAATTTTCAGGCCTACTTTCCATTTTAAGTTTCCCAATTATTTCCTTTGAGTTTATAAACACCACTAATAGGTCATCTCTCTCATGCTCAATGTTAGCATTACGCTCAGTTAAAACCTCGTTTTCTTTCTTTAGACTCTCAATGGTTTCCTCTAAGTCTACAGTAGAAACTACCATATAATCCCTCTTTTGTTCTATGCCACCAATTTCTTCTATTAAAGAATTTTTCTCATTAATGAGGTTTGATAGGCATCAATCAACACATTTGCTAAGGACATCAATTTTTTCTTAGAGTATGTTTTCAAATTTCATTGAACATCAAGAAAACTTACCTCATATTCCTCCTTGTCCTCATCATCATTAGATTTGGCTATGAGTGCAAAGATTGACTCATATTCCAAAGATCCATTGTCAACAACCATCATATCTTTACCTTCAGATTTACTAGAGGAATTTCCCCAATCAGCTAGGGCTTGCTTCACTATGTTATCAGCAACATCTCTTCTTTTGAACTTTCTGTCAAGAACCTGGTTCCTTTTAGTGGCTTTTTCAGTGTTGGTTTTGTAATGATCCTGCTTATAAAGAGGGCAGTCTTTAATAAAGTGTCCAAACTTTCCACACTTATGGGAGCAATCATTTTCTTTGAAATTCCTGCTGGAACTTCCTTTCTTTGGAATCCCACCATTTTTTTCGAATCATCTTTTGGAATCTTCGAGTGAGATACTCCATGTCGGATTCATCACTACTTGAGTCTTTGTTGGCAGCCTTGAGAACTAGGTTCTTCCCCTTCTTGGGATCTCTTCTTTCAAGATCCTTCTTTCTCTTTATCTCATAAGTTTTGAGATTTCCAATGAGTTCATCAATGGTTAGCTTCTGCAAATCCATGGCTTCAGTGATTGCATTCACTTTACTTTCCTAAGAACCTGGTAAAACACTGAGTATTTTCTGGACCAGCTTGTTTCTTGGGATGACTTCACCAAGGGAGTAAAGCTCATTGATAATGGAGGTGAAACATGTGTACATATCTTGAATAGACTCATCATACTCCATATTGAAAAGCTCATACTCAGTAGTAAGCATATCAATTTTGGACTGCTTAACCTGAGTAGTGCCCTCATGGGCAGTTTGAAGAGCTTCCCAAATCTCCTTAGCAGACTGACAAGCTGAGATGCAGTTGTACTCATCTGGTCCAATGCCACAAACAAGAATCTTGTTTGCCCTAAAATTCTTCTCAATAGCCTTTTTATCAGCATCGTTGTACTCTTTTCTTATTTTTGGGACTGTAACTATTCCCTCACCAACAGTTTTCATAGGAACAAAAGGTCCATCACAGATTACATCCCACAACTCTTAGTCCTCAGCCATAATAAAGTCATGCATTCTTGTTTTCCACCAACCATAGTATTGGCCGTTGAATCTTGGTGGTTTGTATGTCAATTGCCCTTCCTCAAAATTTGGTGGAGCAGCCATGTAGATCCTTTCTAGGTGTTAACCTTTTAGAAAAAAGCTGCACTGATACCAATTGATAGAAACTAAACGTCTACCAAACTTTATAGAGAACCGGATTCTCTATCAGTTCCCACCGAAGAAACAGACTGTCAGTATAGGGAATCATGTTCTCTATTTGTTCCCATAGTAAATCGACAGTAAATAAAGAACACAGAGGAATTTTACGTGAAAAAATCCCAGCTCAACGGGATTAAAAACCATGACCTACACTTGTAGGATTTCAACTTCACTACTGAGCAATCTTTAGATTACAACCTATTGTAACCTAGGAATTAACCTTTAATCCCTCACTAACTTGTAACTACACTATTACATCCACTTTGTAATAACTCTATTACAAAGACTTAATCACTCACTAACTTGTAACAACACTATTACAAGCCACTTTGTAATAACTCTATTACAAAGACTTCACAACTCGACTAACTCTAGCCAAGACACAAACACAAGGGTTTATGATTTACAAAGGGTTTCCTACGTAATCCTTCTAACTAAGCTAAGTAGGAGTTACAAATGAAGAACAAATAGCAAAGACTCAACAAACCTAAGGACTTAAGATATCTTCAATCTTTGGATCTGGTCCTTGAGGTTGCAGCAACTTTGTTCTTGAGAGAGGTTGTGGCTAGCACTTGAGAGAATATTTTCTTTTGATTTTGCAAGTGTTCAAGTTGTTGTGTTTTACCTCCCTTGTTGTTAATAATACATGTGTGACCTCACATACAATGAATTAAGCAAGGTAGGTAAAAAGCTTTCTACAGAAAGATGACTGCTGCACTGTTTCTGCACTGTAGCGTGTGCAGGCAGCACTTTCCAGCTGGAGAGTTGACTTCGTACAGTCACCTCGGGAATTGGTAGGGACCTATTCCCTCAGCTGTTCCTTCGACTCTAAAGAGTTGAGAGTTGAACCAGACATCTGACTGGTTACTCGAACGCAAAAGAACTAATTGTATCAGGTTCCTTACCTGGTTCTCTCATGAAGTTTGTCAAATCATCAAAACAAAAGACGCATAACTTATCATATATGCATATGCATGACATTATAAAAATGAAATGATTTACAGAGTTATGCAAACGTACATATCGAGTTTTTTACTCCATGTCTCTTTCATGCCTATTATTTATTGATTTTCATTCCTTGCATACTCGATAAATTATTTGTACTGACGTCCCATTTACCTGGGGATGCTGGGTTTCATGCCCACAAGTCCCGATAGATATATTGAGAGTCCTCTAAGTAGGCTATCAGCTCAGCGGAAGATGTTGGTGCACTCCGTTTGCTCCGGAGTTGCTTGTTTGGTCAGTATGATTTAGTTGTGTATTGTTTGGTATGGCGGGGCCCTGTCTCGACCTTTATGATAAGTATGTATTGTTATAGGCTTTTAGACATATGTCATTTATACGGATTCTTGTATGGCCATCTCGGCCTATGTTTTGAGTTTATAAATGATCATGCTGGCCTTATAAGCCCGTATGTCTCGTGTATAAGTTTTTATATTAGATTGGGTCGTCATATATCGAGTGGTCCCCAATGTTTATTCTTGTTAGCCCATGACAAACCGTTTGGCCCATTTGCCAATGAAAAATATTTACCTATGATAGTATGATACGAAAGATATGTGACGTAGGTACTCGGTTGAGTAAGGTACCGGGTGCCCATCGTGGTTCATCGGTGTGGGTCGTAACACTTACAATAATAATTGGGCTCACTATTTATAGTTGTGTCTAGGGAAGGAGGTCTTAGGATCGTGCCCTCCTTTAATGTCAATTATGAGGGTCATTGATGAAGATGTAACGGTGAACATAAATGCTAAATTCTCTATAACGGGCCGTCGTCCGTAATGTTGTAGAATATTCTTTATTAAATGCTACCGGGCACAAAGCATTTAATACACCTTTATGAACGTTATCCCTTCGGGTGCCAAGCAGAATAGTTGTGTTCGGTCTTCGGCATCCCCATCTTGGGTTCCACGTGTCTTTCCTTTAGATGACTACGTGTCATATCATATTTTACCCTATACAGATAGTCCCCCTGCATTTCGGTGACATAACTTTTATGTCACCGGGAAGTTTGTAGAAACAATTTTTTGGCGAGAATTACTATAACTCCCTCTGCAGTCTTCTGACGGTTGATTAGACGCACGTCTCTTCGCATTTAATGCCCCAAACACGGCTCATCCGACGATTCAACACAGCTTTTGTCGATTATCGAGGTAATCATGGCCATGAATTTAGCCGCCAAAATTTTACTTATACGCGTCATCCTTCTCTTATGCACTTCATAATTTCTCGAACTTCTGACTTGCATCTTTGTTCTCCACCTTTTCTCTAATTCTCTTCAAACAAAAAACCTTTTCCTTCTTCTATTTAATGGCTTCCTCTTCAAAGAGCAAGAATAAAACCGAAGATTCTTCTCCTCCAACGGTGGGTTCCATCATCCCCAGAAGTCTTAACACCACAAAAGATTTCGAAAAGAAATTCCCTACTGCTAACCCTCGTACATGGGCTGTCAGTAGGGATCATTCTTCCATTCATCCTTCCAGTATTCCTACTGCGAAGGAAGACTGCCGTTGCCATGTGGGAATTCTAAAGATTCCCCGGGGGAATATGTTAGATATTGTTGCTCCTGATCTATCAGAGCGAGTGACCCTTCGCAAGGAGGGTTTTACATATTTTTACACGTATCCCTTTACTTTGTGTGCGCTTTCTTTGAGTGCAGAGCTAGATTCCGTGATTGCAGAGTTTTGCCTCCGCATCCAAATATATTTGGCACAAGTAAGTCCTCCTATGTGGAGGACAGTTTCCTGCCTTCGGCGCTTGTGCCAGGAGACTGGAGAAGAGCTAACCTTAGCTCATATGATGTATCTCTACTCTCCCATGATTTTCCTTAGGGGAATGATAAATCTCTACAAACATGGCCACCATGCTCTATTGACCAGCATGGATGGTGATAACGACCGTGGGTGGACGGAACGGTTCGTTGTAGTTGTCACTAATAAAATCATTCCGACAATGGCTTCATCCTTTTTGGCCGATTGGAATCGCACTCGTAAGATTTTTCAATTAATATTTTCCTTTACTAAATATTCCTTTATGTCCATATTGACTCTTCATCTCGTCACATGTTTCAGCAACTCGATGGGTCCCACCGGTGGTGGAAGGCTTGGACCAGTGGGTCCAAAAGATCTTGGATGTTACGACACCCGAAATTCATTTGTGGAAAGTACTGCCCCTTAAATATGGGTGGAAGGCAAAAAATTACGGTAATTTTAACTTACCTTGTTTTTATTTTTTATGTGAAGAACTTAGTTGAACCCTTCTGACTTGTTCATGGAATTAGGTTTACCTGCGGGCTTTGTTGCTGTCCCCGAGGAGGACGTCTTGGCTGATCCTACTGATGTAGCAAGGTTGCTTCAGGAGGCGTTTACTCGAACAGGTACCTTCGGGCCTGCTTCGTGCACAAACGTTTCATGATGGGGTCCTCGGCCGGAGAACAACCAAAAATAAGGCGTTCTTCCGTGGCCGAGGAAAATAATAAGAGGGCTAAGATTATTTCCCCTGAGTCATTTCCGGAAGTCGTGATCAGTAGCCATCCTCCTGGGCCGGTCATAGACACCATGGTAGTCTACGATGATGGAGAAGCCAGTGATGATGGGGCTTCTCTACATAGAAGGTGACGTTCATCATAAACTCAATAGAATGCTCAGTCTATTGAGTAAACTACTCCAACCGAGGACGACGTCTCGGCGCTCTGGGGGGAGTTTAATTTGGTAGAAAATTCCAACTCCCATTATCGGGTCCCAACTGCTGTGCCCGGTACTGCGGGGCCGAGTACTGAGTCACTGCCTTTTTTGGCTGGAGAGCATCCAACTACCAGGACTGCACTTGATGCAACTACTTCACACCCTTCAACTCCATCAGCTTCATCCCCGTCTTCACCAGCACCAACAACTGCTATATCACTTCCATCTTCATCCACTCTCCCACCGACAACTGCTACATCATCTCCACCGACCATATCTGATCATGAAGGATATGTTCCTCCTCCCCAGTCCCTAGTTCATGGGAACTTGGGGCAAAATTATGCTGCCCCTTCTGAAGATCCGTAGAGGAGGAGGAATGTTACCCTCTCGGTATCTACCGGGTACAACTTGCTTTCCCGGTCGGTGGAGCTTGCTAACTATCTAAAGCATTTGGCTACAGTGAAATATTGGAAAAGATTCAAGCACTCTCGGGAGAGTGTTTGTTGAATAATGCCATGCACAACGCCGCAACGGTGTGTTCCTTTCTTCCTTTGTTATTTCTTCTACTTTTGTATTAATGTATTCTAAGTTTTACTTCTCTTGTTTTGTAGGCCAACTTTCTTGCTTTCGAGGGCCTTCAGAGGTTGATTCGTGAAAAGGAGGAACTTACTTCTGAGCAGGATCAACTTTTGGTGGAACGGGATCAAATCGTTCTCCGCCTGTCGGAACTGGAAACCAAAGCTACTGAGGCTGTTGTTTTGGAGGCTCATTTGTAGCAAAGCGAGCAAGAAGTGGTAACCCTTATCCAAGCTAAAGCTAAATGGGCTGAAGTCCAGGACGTCGTTCTTGCTGCAACCGAGCGCGAGGCTGCCACTGCTGAAAAAGTGACTGACTAAGAGACAGCCTTGAACTCCAAAATTGAAGAGCTTGCTGCTGTGAGGGCAAAACATGCCCAGTTGTAAGAGAAGCATAAGAAAACTATTGAGCATAGCAGGATATTTAGTTCAACTATTTGCGACCTTGATGTTAGCCTCTGATCCGTTAGGTCTTCCCAGGAATGCT